CTTTGTATATCAAGAGACATGACACAACACACACATACCAATGAATATGAATAAAACGTATGTATTCACAATAAGCTTGGGTTCCCAGGATGGGAAAGCTTCCTCAGGGTTTGGTGAGAAGATGACCAGGAGGATTGGGGTGGGGTGGAGCTTAGGGTTTTGATGATGGGAAGGGGGTGGAGCTGTGTTGGGGCTATGCACTGGGCCAGAGGCCGAGGCTACACATTGAGATTCTTGGCTGCCAGCAGAAACATGGAACATTCACAGGTCTTCTTAACTTGATTGCCCAGATGTAGGGAAGAAGGATAGGGACCTAAAAGCTGGTAGTGGTCAAACATCAAAAATGGAGTCACCTTCTTCATTACATGTTCTTTTTGTCATCCTCGTTCTTAGTTCACAGAGCTGAATCTATGAAATCTTGAAGAATCTTCCAATGGATTCTTTTTCACGTTAAGTTAACCAGACTTGATTTCTGTTGCTTACAGTCGAGGATCTTGACTGATACCAACAGAGCTAGCAATTTTGAAAAACAATTACATGCAATCTCAAATGAAACAAACATAAAACGTTAAGCACAGAAAAACTGGTAAAATCGTTTCCACAAACGCATGTTCTTTCCTCAGTAGCAATTATAACAAGTCTCATGGGTCACAAAAGTCAATTAGTTCAGCCTTGGACACAAAGTTGATTCAGGCTTATAGAATTCTAGAGCTTGAGGAGATCCAAGAGACTATTAAAACAAAACAAAACTTTAATTTGATGATGAGGAAACCATCACCAAGAACAAGATGCCCAGTCGTATCAAGAGTTAATGGGGCAGCCGGGGTGGCTCAGCAGTTTAGCGTCACCTTCGGCTCAGGATGTGATCCTGGAGACCTGGGATCGAGTCCCACATCGGGCTCCCTGCATGGAGCCAGCTTCTCCCTCTGCCTGTGTCTCTGCCTCTGTGTGTGTGTGTGTGTCTCTCATGAATAAATGAATAAAATCTAAAAAAAAAAAAAGAGTTAATGAAGGATCAGACAGCAGGCATTCAAACCTGTAATCAAGGGCTCTTTTAGCACAGCTGGCAGATTCTCTGAACTCAGTTCAAGAGGCTTTCTTTTGCATGCCATGGTGCTGGGAAGGACAGTCTCCCTTCACAACCTATAATGGCTTTATCCTATATCACTTCCACAGTGCTCTGTGACTGCCTTGTTCATTTATTTCAGCTAATTTATTGATGAAGTCAAGGCCATAGGCTTGAGTCAGGAGTGAGGAGCCAGCTTGGCTCATGTTCCACAGCACAGTGTCCAGATGTTGACTGGCCATGTTATAAAAATGAGACCTTGCTGGGGGCACCTGGATAAGCATATGTTAAATGGCTCAGTGAGGTTCATAACTAGAACACAGGGCAGAAGCATGCTTCCAGGGAGGCTGAGACAAAGACATGGCACCAGCTTTATAGATAAAGAATTCAATATTAAACCCTTTGCTTTTTTTTTTTAAAGCATATTTGACAGAAAACAGTGAAGAATTCCATTGTTTTTTTTTAAGATTTCATTTATTTATTCATGACAGACACACAGAGAGAGAGAGAGAGAGAAAGAGAGAGAGAGAGAGAGAGGCAGAGACACAGGCAGAGGGAGAAGCAGGCTCCATGCAGGAAGCCTGATGTGGGACTCGATCCCGGGTCTCCAGGATCATACCCTGGGCTGAAGGCGGTGCTAAACCGCTGAGCCACCCAGGCTGCCCAAATTCCATTGTTAAGTATAACAGTCTTGCCCATTTAGGAAACTCCCACCATCTCAGAGTAAATGCTGGGTATTTTTTAACTTGAGACATTTCTATTCTTTCTCTGCTTCCTACTCCAGACCATGCCTGCCCTTTAAAAAGTAGGAGGGGAACAGTTCAGAGAATATTCCATTGCCATGGCCCTACAGTTGCCAGCACCTACTCACCAATGTCTGGTTGGTGGGATAAGTTTGGAAAGAACCAGGAACACCAAATGAATGCATATAACTGACTTAGTAAATTCAAAACAATGAAAGATGTCACTCTGGGCTGAACTAATTAAGAATTACTTGGAGAAAGAACAGGTTCTTGAAGAGTGAGGAGGATTTTTTTATGGAGAAAGGGGTGAGTGGGAGGCATCCCAGTGTTGGAGGAACAATTTATAAGCCGAGGCACGGGGAAAAGGGTGTGTGAGGCATCCTACGGAAAACCAACTGGCAAGGAGGATGCATTTAGGAGAGAAGGAGGAGAGAGGTTTGGATAAACAGTAGGCTAGAGCCATATTGTAGGGAACTCTAGTGACAGGCTAAGCAGTGTGCTGTTCACTCTGTAGGCAGTGGGAACTATTTGGAGCTTTTTGAGCAGGGGAGGAATGACGATCACAGTCATATTTAAAGAAGAGGAATCTGACAGTGGTTTGTCGGCTGCATTGGAAATGGGTAGCAGGGACACTAGAAATTACGTTAGTTCAAGCCAAAGTGATGAAAAGTGACCTAAGTTGAAGGACGTCTTCCTCCCTGACATGCATGGACAGAAAAGAAGTTACTTTTCTCTGCAGGAAGCAGTTCTGGGTGCCCTGACCAAGTCCCAGAAGACATGACTTTGCCTCAGACCAAGATACCAAAGACCACTGTCCTGTTCAGAGAATCTGGCCCTGTCTACACAGACAGGCAGCCAAGCAGACAGGCCACTCTGGACCACACAGTGCTTGGCAACGGTTTGTGCTTAATGAGTCTTTGTTTGATGAGAGGTTTTGATTAAAAACAAAGTATGTTTGACAGAAAACAGTTAAGAATCCCACGGGTGCCTTCATCTACCTTGTCCAGTACCTCCTCAACCAGATAGGATCTGACATCCATGACAACCAAGTCTCTTTTGCAGGAAGGTGATGGGCTGAGGTTCCCTGCCCCTGGCACCACTGAGCCTGGCCTCCCAAGCCACTGCTACCCTACAGATGGAAGATGATTGCATCTGTCACCAGGCCACCATGGCTGCAGGCCATGTCCTAAGCTCACCCTCCCCACCTTACTTCCACCCCACACACTCACACCCTTGGGGCTGGGATGGAAAGGAAGAAAAGGCAAGAGAGACACTCACATTTTATTATAAAGTCTTTTAACCAGACTACATATTGATCTCAAGAATCTGGGTCACTTCCAGTCCATATTTATTCAGGTTTAGGGTCAGACAATTTTGCCTGAATTACACGGTCCTCTGAGTTGAACAAGTGGCCTAATGGCTGTTTTACAGAACTGACCTAACCATTGACCATACTGTCTGTACAGTTCATATTATCGAAAAGCACAGATACTCTATCTTCCTAAAAATCTGTAGGAAGACTTTCTCGCAGCCCCTGGCATCTTACCACCACATTTGGAATAATAATCTTTTCTTTTCTGTTACTGCCTACATCAACACATTTATGTGGAGCAAGTTTTTCTTGTCACAGAGCTTTGTAATCTCTGATTTGTCTGTCCATAAGCCGAAAAGAGGTGTCAGCCTTGACAAAATCAGTAAGGGAAAAAAATGAGAGATAAGGAGAGTATAAAAACACTTGGGATGCAGGCATATATGTCTGGTGTACACTCTCAGCTCAAGAAACAGAACAGGGAGATCCCAGGTCACAAGCTCGTCTACGAGAGCGGAAGCAGAGAGACCAGGTGAGCCAGGAGGAAAGACTCAGGTCTGCTCAGCAAATCCTTAGCTCTTGGACAAGCAGGTACCACAGCAGCAGTAGCCACCTCTTTCTGTTTCTATCCCCACCACCACACTCCCACCCCCTACCCCAGCTATGGAGGGCCTAGAGGAGTCCTCTGTCTATGCGGGCAAGTTCTCCTCATCAGTCCTTCCTCGCTCAGCCCACCGCTGAGAAATTCAAGGGTTTAAGTAGCAAGAGCATTTCTGGCACGTGCATGGAGTCAGGGGAAATCACTGCCTGCTCAAGTTTGCCGGAATGTTCAAGAGGCTGGTTTCATTTGATTAAAAGCTCCATCCTCCAGGAAAGAAGTCAGGTCAGTGGGGAGCCTGATTACTAGCAGAATTCCACAGGGAAGCATGAAGACAAGTGAAGGGTTTGGGCTCTGCTGCTATCAAACGCGGTTGCGTCTATCCATAGGGAGCTCTGAACCTTTCCAGCCCCAGGCTGTGCTCTGGGCAGGATCCTGTGATCCCGGTGAAAAACCAAGGACAGGTGTGATACCCTCTTGCACTGTTGGTGGGAATGTGAACTGGTACAGCCACTCTGGGAAACTGTGTGGAGGTTCCTCAAAGGTAAAAAATAGAGCTACCCTATGACCCAGCAACTGCACTGCTGGGGATTTACCCGAAAGATACAGATCAGATGCAATGAAAGACTGAGACACCTGCACCTGTTTATAGCAGCAGTGTCCACAATAGCCAAACTGTGGAAGGAGCCTCGGTGCCCATCAAAGGATAAGTGGATAAAGAAGATGTGGTCTATGTATACAATGGAATATTCCTCAGCCATTAGAAATGACAAATACCCACCATTTGCTTCAGCGTGGATGGAACTGGAGGGTATTATGCTGAGTGAAGTAAGTCAATTGTTGAAGGACAAACATTATATGGCTTCATTCATTCGGGGAATTAAAAAATAGTGAAAGGGATTAAAGGGGAAAGGAGAGAAAATGAGTGGGAAATATCAAAGAGGGAGACAGAACATGAGAGACTCCTAACTGGGAAATGAACAAGGGGTAGTGAAAGCAGAGATGGGCAGGGGGATGGGGTGACTGGGTGATGGGCACTGAGGGGGGCACTTGACGGGATGAGCACTGAGTGTTATACTGTATGTTGGCAAATCGAACTCCAATAAAAAATATACAAAAAAATAAAATCACAAAAAAAAAAAAAGAAGACAGACAAATGCCTTGAATAGAGACATAAATGGAGGTAGTATTCCTGTGGATTGGAACTTATTCTTATTTTCCAAAATCTTCTTGGTTAATGCATTTTTATTTTTGTAACACAAGCAAAACAGTTAAAATTTTAAAACTAACACCCATTAATTTAAAAGGATTCAAGCAATATAAAACATTCAGAGAGGAGATAACACAAATCACATATAATCTTACATAGAGTGTTAAAATTTTGATGTGTATTTTTCCAAAATAAATGGGTTCGCATTTAAAAAAAAAAATCCTGGGTGAGGCTTTCCTGGGGACATAGTCAGGGAATGTGCCAGGCACATGTCCAAGAAAGAATTGTGCTCATTCGATTTCAGGTCCAGCCTTTGCATGCTCTGTTCTGCAGAGTTAATCGGGGTGGCAGGGACAAGTGCATTTGGACAAGGCTCTGCATTTTATCTTGCTCCTAACAGAGCAGCTCCATGGGTGTCCCGGGTGTCCCTCGGGCTGTCCCAGCCCTTTGCACGTCAGCTAAAATTGCCAATTCAATTCCAAAGACTTCAGTTCTGCAGCATCCTCCCCAAGATGTCTTCAGACCCCAGGAGGGCTTCCAATGTCACAGTCCTCTCTACTCGGTGACATCCTGCCTCCTTATAAAGTTCTGCATCACCTTGCCAAAGACAGGAAACCACCTGATTTCTTTGGGGGAAATGAATAAAACAAAACCCCCAAACCCCAGCTTTGAGAAGCAAGAAAGAGCTAAGATGTCACAAGGAGAGAGTCACAGTGTACTCAATGTGGCAAGACAACCGAAAAGCCAATAGTAGGTGCTCCTGTTCTGTAACCTCATTTCAGGCTCCCTGTCACCAGGCTCTGCTCTCTTGGCCCTTTACTGAAACAGCTGAAAAACGTCCCCACTAACGGCTCTTCTCCCTTCCTCTCTTCTTTGCCACGTCTACTCCATCATCCTCATGGGGAACGAGCACAGTTCTTCCTCGGCCCCTGGAGTGTCACTGCCTAACTGAAGTCGTCATCCGAGATATTTTTCCAAAGATATAGTTGATTCTTTCCATCCATGGAAATTGGTGATGTTCTACGAAATAATCACGCACTCTGCATTGGGAAGTCCTGAGCTGCTCCTCCCAGGAAGACAGGGTTAGGTTCCTACAAGCCTCCGGTCACATTTTTTAAACATTCAGTACATAACTTTGTTTTACGTGTGGTTTTCTTTAAAGACACCTTATTTAAGAGTTTTAGTTGATTCATTAGTGATTCATGAACTAATGAACCCATGGCCAACAACACTGTAACTGCTGCCTGAACAAAATGTATGGAATACACATATTTTGCCTATAAGACACACCACAGGCTTCTTGGGCAGTAGAAGCACTTCAGTGCTATGCTTGGGGGTGTTGTAAAGCAAAATCACTGACAAAAGCACAAAAATGGGGGGAAAATGTGACACTAAATAGATTTCTAAAAGGACAACTTGTTGACAGTTTGAGAGCCAAAAGAAAAAGGCAGAGTGTCGCCTTGTTCAGCCTCAGCTGGGAACAAATCCGTCCAATGACTTACTTTTTTCACTGCTCTGCAGATGTCTGTGAATGACAGCAAAAGCACTGCAAGGATTGATTTTGTAGTTAGAAATTTTAACAAGTACGTAGATTGAAAAATATGCAATGGGCACATAATCAGGATCAACCACGAGTCCTTTTCTAAGAAGCATTGCGGTGCCAACTGTGAACGTAACAGTTTCTCCATTTTGTCACATTCATATTGGCGTGAGATTTCATTTGAAAAATTGGTTCTACTCTCTGAAGGAGATCTAAAAACCAGTGCCTGCCTTAGGAAACCTGATCCATGGCTCATTCAAGTAGTGATTATCAGTTTGATCTAAGTGCTGGGGTACTGGTGAAGCTTGCTGGCCAGGTTGAGTTATATTAAAAGAAAGCAAGGCTGGCCCACATGCACAGAACAGAGAAGAGTCCAAAAATGAGAATGTCACCTGGCAGTGTTACATGAAGCGGGGATGTCCCATGGTATTTTATAGATTTCTGTTTGCTAGAGAAGATAACCTCAAGGTCATGATTTCATTGTCTGTGGGACATTAACCGGTTTTGTATCTAATCTAGGAATCTTATTTTAGAATTCCTTTTTTTTCCCAAATGCCTAAGTGGCAGCCCTGAAGAGTGTCACCTTTCCTTTCTGCAAGCCCTAGAAGCATTCTTCAGACCTTGCGGGGCCTCCGGGTATATCCTGCAGAGTGTTGCAAACGTGGGGAGTATCCTCTTGTTTCAATTAAAAGACAAGAACTACTGTAATGAACTTCCCAGTGTTTGTGTTGAAAATCAGCACCAGTTTCTTCTTCTTGTGAAAAGATTACCCTGAGGCCCTGGGATCAGCACCCTATGAAATGCAGTAAATGCACCCCGATGATAGGTTTACTGCAAGACATTTTATGTTTTTGGAGCTTCACCAAGGTTCCCAGGTATGTGGCCACTAACTGCTTTCACAGCTCCCCTCTGTTTGCTTTCAGCCATTAGATGTAATTGAAGGATAGAAAGTGGGTGTGGGAGCACGTGTGTTATTTTCATTTTAGTTATTTGAACAGCATTGACAAGCTTCGGTCTTTTGTGGTCCACGGAGCGTGATTCTTGGCTGCGGAAACCTGACACCAGCTCGTCCTCCAGCAGCCGACCACGGGCATGTGCTGCATGCAGTCGTATTTGCAGATGGCATTTCAATCACTTAGCTTACACCTTCCTCCACTGTCACCACCATTCTGACAGAAATGAGTTACATTTGCTCCACTTTCCAGAAGGGTGAAAGGCAATAGCAGCTTGCCAAGTTTACACAGTCAGTGAGAGCAGCATTGAGTTCAAGGTCGGACAAAACAAAGAAATGATTGCAGATGTTAATCAAAGTGGAGCTTTTTAACTTGAGAATTATTTGATATGTTTGCTTGTTTGCTGAGAACAATCATCGCAAACTTAGAAACAAAGCAACGGCAAGACCATGCCCCCTCGATGTCGCATTGGAGCACTGTTTAACAGGGTCGCTCATAGATTATACAATTAGTTAGGGGAGTGTTTTTTAAACTTGGCTTCACATTGGAGATACCTGTGGATCTTCAAAACTGCAGATGCCTGGCTCCTACTCCCAGGCATTCTGATTTAATGATACAGGGGTGATGTGACGAGCTGAATGATGTCCACGACCCAATCCTCAGGACCTATAAATATGTTACCTTATGTGGTAAAAGACATTTTGTAGCTGTGATTAAGCTAAAGGTCTTGAGATGGGGAGAGTATCCTGGACTATCTAGGTGGGCTCAGTGTCATCACAATGCTCTTACAAAAGGGAGGCAGGAGGATCAGATTGGAGAAGATAGAAGCAGCGTTGAGAGAAGAGGGAGGAGATGCTTTGCTGTTGGCTTTGAAAGTGGAGGAAGGAGCCACAAAACAAGCAGTACAAGTGGTCCCTAGAAGCTGGGACATGTGCCTGGAGCTTTCAGAAGGAGCACAGCCCTGTGAGGCCATTTGAGACTTCTGACCTCCAGAATTGTAAAAGAATAAAGTTGTGTTGCTTTCAGCCACTGTGTTTGTGGTAATTGTGCACAATGCAGGTACGACCTTGGGCATCAAGATTTACAAAATCTCCCCAAGTGATTCTAATGTGCCGCAAAATTTGTACACCCACCGAAGTAACGAAATTTATTTGCGTTTGGCTTCACCATTAACTATTTGATGGGAATCGGCCCCTACTGTGAGGTTCCATGATATATAGAAAAGTAGAGCCCAGGAGACATCGGCTTTACAGACAGGTACCTCAGGGTCATGATTTTACAGTCCCATAGGGCATTAACCGGTTTTATATCTCATCCAGGAATTTTAATTACTTTTTTCTTTCTCCAAAATACCTATAAATATCAAATTCTTCAAAATGTTTTTGGAACCAGCTTTACTTTCATGCTAGCTCTCTCAGTCGTTGAACACATTTTTGACACAAGTTCATTCTATGTTTCTATGTGTCATACTTTTAACTCTTTGAAAATATACTTTCACATATTCAATAATAAATATTTGTGAGGAAGTGAAAACAGAATGTGTGGATACCAGTTTTCCCCCACACCCTTGGAAGAGCCGGAAGTAAGATTAAAGAGTTGCTTCAGACGTTATGCACATAAAGCCAGATCAGTCCCTGTCCCTGAGGCCATGTAGGTTGGAGCAGGGCTACACCATCCCCTGCAGTCACTGTCCTGGTTCGCAGGCGCTGCCAGATAGGGCTGGCTTTACGTCTTCACTCTGCTGCTTAGTAGCTATATGATCTTGAGAATATCTTGTGAAAATCTGTGTCTTCATCAGAAAAATTAAAATAACCTACATCACATCATTGGAGGTACTTAGAGATGACACACCAAGCTTGTACACCTGGGGAACCCTCCTAAACTTGACCCAGACAACTGAGCAGTGCTGGCTCTAGCATCCTCTTTCTTTACCTTGGCAGTGCCAAAGACAGGAGTGACACCAATAACACTTGAAGGGATGAGCAGGTTACAATAAATGACCAGAAGTGTAAATTTGCTTCCCAGAGGGTCTCATTTTGGCCAGGTAGAAATTTTACAAAGGGAGAACCTAACCCCATTTGCACTCAGGCAGCCTGCAGGGCTCTTTAAGCTGATGGCCTACATTTCATACTCAGCAGGTGATGCCACTGTTGGCCTGCCTTTCTTTTGACGTTTCTGCCATTCAGGTATTCCCCCTCACTGATATGCTGGGCCTGGCTTCAAATTGCATGCTGGCAGCTACATGGGAATGAATGAGCTTTGCGTTTCTCCCCATAATTATCTCTTTCAACATGGCTGAAAGAGTGGGTGCTGTGTACAGATGAAAAGACTCTATGGCCATATGTTGAGGTGGTAGCAGAGGCTACATTAGCTTACAACTCTCCTTTGCTGGGCTTCAAGTGGCAGTATGGCCATAAATATATACAGGTCCTCGTCAGGGCTAAAGACTCCTGCCTCACGGTGGAGTCTGTGAAAACTCTCCCCTGGGCTGCTGAGGTCAAGGTACGGTTACAAAGGCTTGTTGTACCTGGGAACTAGAAGGAAGTGAGACCCAGCAGAGTCAAAGGATTAAGAACCTGGAGAGATTGATTTCAGGGATTAAATACCTACTCTGTCAGTTGACCCACCTGTGAGTCAAGAGAGACAGGAATGATAACCATGCAAGGAATTTTGACCAGATAAAGTACCAGATAGGTAAGGTCTCATTGGAGGTCACCCGGAGGTTATGTAGAAAATCAGTGAAGCAAGACTACATCCATCACTAGAAAGAAGACAAAAATGAACGCTGAACATTACTGAACGTAAATGAGAACAGAAGTCCCTCACTGGGGTAAATCATGGGGTTGGTCAGATAGTTTCATTTATAAGTATGAAAAATTCACTAATTAATTCAGTTGGTCAGTTATTCAGCAAACGTTTCCTGACAGTCTGCAAATACCAGGCAATGTACCAAGTAAAGAGAAGTAAAAAGAATACCCAACCCCAAGGAGTACATAGTCTCTGCAATGAACATCATAAATGCTGTTCTGGAGGTATGTACCTAGTATAATGGGGTCACAGGAAGGAGTGCTATCCTATGAGAGGCTTCTAAAAATCATGATTATCTTATGTAATTTCCCATCGACTTATGTATATATAAATAGCCCTATTTTCAGACATCTAGAAATAAGCTCTTTCCTCTATTCTAATTTTAGTAGACTCTGACAAATGTTGGGCCGTATTTCTATTCCACAGGCAAGATAGCACATAGAGAAAATTTTCTCTGCTTCCCTTGAGAGGTCTAAAGCCCCTACTCAGTTCTTGACCAGGAGCTACTACTCCACCCTGGAGTACCTGGCCTGTCGTGGAGGTGCTGTGAGCTTTGGGAAGCTGAGATGCAGTTGGGTGCCCCTCACTGCAGGGACATCTACAGGCATAGGCCCTGCCAAGGGGCACAGCTCCTGGAGACAGCTCAGGCTTACATGGGTGAAAGTAAGCCCTCAGCCTCACATCAGCACCCTGCCATGGGAGCTGACTCTCAAAGGGAGAAAAGAGGAAACCCTGAGCTTGTTCTTTTGCTGTCAGGAATCAGCAGCTGTTTGGTTGCAGCCAGGAGATACCTTCAAGTGAAGTAGAACCACCATGTATAAAAGATTTGTTTCCATATAGAAGGTATATTTTTTATATTATTGGAGGACATTCAACTCTTCTGTGGAAGGTAAACATACACATAGGATGGGTGAAACCCATAAGATCTGTTTGGTGTTAGACTGCGTTGAATAGCACCCACCCCCAAAATTGATGTTCACCCGGTACCTGTGAATGTGACCTTTTTTGGAAATAGGATATTTGCAGACAAAATCAGTTAAGATAAAGTCATACTAGATTAGAGTGGGCCCCAAATCCAATGGCTGATATCCAGATAATAAGGCCATGTGAAACACAGCAGACAGAAAAGATGGCCACGTGAAGATGGAGGCAGAGATTGATGTGCCCAAGAGGCAAGGATCATCCAGGATTGTCAGCAACCACCAGAAACTAGGAGACAGGGATGGACCAGATTCTTCCTTAGAGACGACAAAAGGAACCAACCCTGCTGAGACCTTGATTTCAGACTTCTGGCCTTCAGAAATGTGAGGGAATAAGTTTCTATGAGACAGGTTAGACACAGAGTCAAGCATGTGCATGCTACACATAGATGGTAAGGGATGGAAGGCCCAAGAGATATGAATATTCCTGAACCTCTAAATATACATGAGACACAGTAGGCAATCAGAACTCATGAGGTCTTAAAGTGCCCAGTCATTGGAGACACCCATTCTGTCTCCATCTATCTATCTACCACCCACAATGTACAGGCAAAAGCCGTGACTGCTCAGGAGATTGTGGTGAGTTCCAGTTGTGACCAGAAGTAATTCTCCTGCAACTGTCTGATAGAACAAGTGTAGGGTGGTCCCATGTACCTTCTATCTGTGGGTCCCTTCGGCTCAAACCTCACCTCTGGTCATCAGGGAAAGCTTTTATGGCAGAGAAGGAGGAGGCTGGGAATGGACAGAAGAAAAGGAAGAGGGACGGAGAGAGACAAAGAGCCTTCAAACATTGTGTGACTCAGGGTTCAGGTAGTATGGTCCAGTCTTGAGCTTTACCCTAAGTCTGTTAATCAACTCTTCTCTTACCCCTTGCTTCTCACTGCATTTTAATTTGATTCCATATACCATGTATTTTAGCATTATCATTTGGTCATGAGTCTTTCCATTCCATGAATTCTGAAATAGCTTGCCCGATAGTATATACGGAGGCAACAAGGTCATTTCCTATACTATATAGGAGGATCAGTTTCTTTGGTGATATTTCCTGGAAACTAGTTACTTTTGAGCAAATATTTATGTGCCAGGCACAGGCTTAAGCCCCTGCTGTGCAGTAATGAGCAATGCAGCCTTGGCCCCTGACCTAGTAATTAGAGTTCCACAAAAAGAAAAATAATCAGTGTCTAACTTAGTATAATAATATCCCTGACCCTGGAAGTGTCCAGCATGACCAAGCACCTGGCAGGAGCATATAAGCCAGTCTAGAGCAATAAGGGAACACTTCTGGAGGAATGTTCATACTGAAACCAGAAGAGCAGATAAGCAGCAGACGGTATAGAAGAGTGTTATAGGTAGAAGGAACAGAGTGAGCAGAGTCTCAGAAGTAGAAAGTGGAAAAGGAGTGCTTGTATATTTCCTTCTGCCCACCCCAAGGATTGCTTGCAATGTATTTTTGGTCTAATGAGTCATGTTAGGTTTCCTACAAAGTACCTAGTATTTGTCTCTTGGCTACTGGTGAAATACCATATTGTAAATTCAACCCCCCACCCCTCACACATTTTTTAGGGCTGATATTTCCATCTGCTTTAGTATTGATAAAATATGACATTTGTTTATAACTATGGAGAATCAAACACATTATCAAGTTCTCAGGCCCATGTGCCTGAAACAAAACCAACCCATAGTCCACTGGGCGAGGCCGAGGTCAGCCATCTTTCCCCCATCCATATTCCCTATACCATCTCCTAAAAGCCCCTTCCTCTAGTCCCTGCCTCAGTTCTCCAGATGTTAAATGGTTGTTCACCTCACTTACAGAACATAAATGAAAATAAGAGCAAAGAACATCTCGAATGTGAAACAATTTAGTTACTTATGAAGGACTTTACTACTGCAAAGATGGCAAAATGTTGCTCCTTTTCCCCATAGCTCCTCACTCTTGTCCCCATTTTCTTTTCTAGAGATTGTTAAGCAATAAATAGATGAAATATATGTGGGACTTTACGGTGCAGAGCTGTCCAGAACAAACATGATAGTTCAGACAACCTCTCCAAGTCCTGTCTGAATCTCTAAGCTCTGATTTTATAGATGCATCTTCTTTATACAATGCAAATATTTCTGAAAATTTGGAAACTGAACTTTATAGATTAAATAGTATTTTAGTTATACTTAATTAGCCTTCTGTTTAAAAAAAAAATCCCTAAATAAATATTTTGACAACATGAATTCTCCTGCAAGTTGCATTTTATTTTCGTGATTGACTTAGAATACAAAGAGGAATTTAGTTATGTTGGTAAATGTAGTATCTGTGTGAAAATATTTTGCAAATGTAAAAAACTGTTAGTCCAACTGTTTAGACAGTATTCAGTTATCTAAATATCTAAATATTTGCCACCTAACAAATTACCCTAAAACCTAGCAGCCGAACATCTCAGGAAGGGTAAAAAGAAGATACTAAAAAAAAAAAAAAAAAAAAAGCAGTGTAAAACAACAAACATTATATTTCATAGTTTCTGAAGGTCAAGATTCTTACCTGGATAGTTCCCATTGGGATCTCTTACTAAGTTTTGGTCAAGCTAGAGCTAGACCTGCAGTCTACAACAGGAGCTGGAAGATCCACTTCCAAGTTCATTCTCACAACTATTGTCAAGAGTTTTCAGTTCCCTTCTATCTGGGGCCCTGTGGGGCTGCTCACAACATGGCTTCCCCCAGAGGGAATATCTGCATGAGGAAGAAAACAAGAAAGACAGAAGCCAGAGTATCTTTTAACGTAATCTCAGATGTAATATTCTATCACTCTCTAGATTCTGTTGGTCACACAAATTGGTGTGGTGTGGATACAATGGCACTATACAAAAGACTCAGGGATCACTTACGGACATTTTGGAGGCTGGCTACCACCAAAACATGTTAAACAGATGATTCTTTCCCAAATCCTTGCCTTCTGACTTTTTATACGTTCACCTTAAGATTAATAAGCCAATTTCCCCGGGGGGCGGGGGCGGAATCTCCTGTTAGCCAGAGAATCAAGAGCCATCAATTTGAGACAAAAATTGTTAGACCAACTAATACAGAAAGATATTAAATTGAAGTATTTAGGCAAGGCTCTAAGAAAAGTATCCAGTACCAAAATCGGTTGTGAGACAGGGAGGCATTTGTTTTTTAAAAGAAATATCTGAAAACTGGTTATACAAGTCTTGAGTTTCTCACCCAAGAGCTATTCCCACAGATCGGGGGTATAAAAAGATCAAGAGGGACATCAGAAGGAACATGTAAAGAGGGTTTGTTAGAGAGAGTAATTTATTGCTGAGTCCCATCTAAAGTTGATGAGTGAGAGTTGCTCTGATAGGGTTGTTTTGAGAGCGTGAAATGTGTTCTCCGTGGCCAGAGGGCAAAATGGCTCAGTGTTTCAAGTCTTTGTAGGCACAGAGAGGATGAACCCTGTAAGAGGTGTACCACTTGAGCAAGAACTTTCCAGTACCCCTTGCCCTCTTCCTGCTCAGGTCCTGGTTGGCAAAGGGCGGGGATGGGGGGAGACCATCCACAGGCAGGAAAACAAGAGGAGACCCCTTCATGCCATGTTCCAGCAGCCAGGCAGCTCACAGTAGGTCCCAGCTGAGGAGTCAACGTTTAATGTTAACTCAAATTTGACATTTATTACCTAGGACTAGACACATTAAATTATTGTTATGCTATGTGTCTTCCTGTGTTTTGCTCTGATGAAGCAAGTCAGAGGGGTAGTCAAGTTTTTATTCCAGAGGCAGGGTTATAATGGGACAGCAGAAGACAACACAAAGTTATTTATATAATTGTATCTCATGATGTTTTCCTTGCTCAGCTTACAGGTTTCACTAGCAATTGCCTCTGTATTTGAAATTAGGATCATTTTAAATATGAGGCTCCTAATTTCTCTCTAGGTGAGTTGCAGCCAGTAAAGACCGTGTTGTCTTTAGGTGACAGCCTGACAGAAAAGTGAAGTAAGGGCAGCCTGGCTCAATGGTTTAGTGCCGCCTTCAGCCCAGGGCGTGATTCTAGAGACCAGGGATCGAGTCCCACGTCAGGCTCCCTGCATGGAGCCTGCTTCTCCCTCTGCCTGTGTCTCTGCCTCTCTCTCTGTGTCTCTCATGAATAAATAAATAAAATCTAAAAAAAAAAAAAAAGAAAGAAAAGAAAAGTGAAGTGAAGTAAGACAATAAATGGAACCCAAGGTCCATTTGTCACATACCTATAAGATTGAGGCTGTGATGCCCATGGTTTCTCAAGGCCTGGTGGCAGGACCTTACCTGCTTCAAAGCACATTCATTTGTTTCTTCAATCATTTACTCATTTTACCTTTCTCAGAGCTCCTACCACACGCTAGAATCCTCCCTTCCACTCCTCAGCAGCTCCGGCTCACCATCTTCCGCATCCAGTTCATTTCTCTACCTCCATACCTCTCCCGAGTCCATCAGCTGCTCTGAGCCAGGTGGCAGCCTTCCTGTGAGAAACATTTGGATAGGGATTTGAGAAAGTGGGTGCTGTATGTAAATGTGATGTGGCACAGGGGCCCTGGTGGTCTCTGACACTTTCCTGTCATGTACAGAACATTATATGTATACATTTCTTAATATACATATGTATGCACATCATATATTTATATTTACATATATGTATAGATATTCTTAGTAGCACATTTAGAAACAGACTTGCAGTCTGGAAAGCTTAAATAAAAATAATACTGTGTATATTTACACTACTTTAAGAATGCTACCTAATTTTATCTTCTAGAAAGTCATCCTGTTTTTTACAGCATGGTGCATGCACAGGCCCCAAACCCTTTACCTGCTTTGGTGAGGACCAGGGAGGCTGGATCATTGGGCAACTAGGTAAACTAATGCCTTCTGCTGTATAGAACATTTTAAATGACATTTTGGGGTTTTAAGTCTTTTTTTAGGGAGATTTTCCCCTTAATTAAAAAGCTTCCATATATATATGTGTGTATGTATATATACATATATATATATACAGTAGGAGACAACTATATAATATATATAATATTACTGTAATACAGTACTTATATAATATAACATCTTGGTATTTAATATATCTGAAGTTTTCATTTGGGTATATAATGATACATAGGAATGCATCGAATCATCGACAAAGGGTTTCCTAATACTACCTATTGAAAAGTCCATACCTGTCCCACTTATTTCCTTTCGGGAAATCTTTAACAGACACTTAATTTCCATGCCTCTGTTTCTCTGTTCTGTTTGGCTATATTCGTGCTGCTATACATCTGTTTTAATTACTGCAGCGTCAAAGTCCATTTTGATATCTGGTAGCTACTCAGTGTTCCCCGAACAGCCTCATTGCCCAATCATCTCCCCTCATCAGAACGCCTGCACCTCCTCTCCAGATCACCCACCCCTGACATCCAGTTCAACAGGGATGCCTGGCTTAGCAACAAGTTGAGGTAGAAGATGCAAAAGGGTTTTTTGGTACTTACAACGCAATGTTGCAACTGTGTGAACAGTGAATCATGTTCAGAGAATGGCGACATGAGGTCACAGGATGTTAGACTGCAGTACAGCCAGGGTGCTGGGCTGAGGGCCGGGCACCGCCTCTGAAGAGGAGTGTTCCCTGACCAGAATGGCCAGTAGACAGATGGTGTGGGGAAGAAGGAAGGATGGTTGGTCCACAAAGGAGAGGATCCCAGGACTGTGAGTGGTTGTCTTCAAGTCTGGAGAGGGGTTGGACGAAATCTTCTTTTGTCTGGAAAGGAAAACAAAGAAAAAAGGAAGTTAAGGAAAACCAGATCTCAGCTCTCCATGGAGGAGAAAAATAAATAAATATAAGGGGTCAATTTGTGAGGTAATGGATCCTTGCTATGGAAAAGATTTGAAAAGAAGTCGGATGCTGTGGAAAGGACGTCCATTTGGGAAGGAAGATACACTTGATACTTCTGTTGGACCTGTCCACCTCCCTAAATTCCTTTTCCTTCGCTGAAACGTGTCAGCTCACAGCACTTGAACCCTCTCCCCAAGGACCATGGAATTTCTAGCCTGTACCATCCATCTGTCTCCCAACATTCCCTGAGCTGAGCTTTCCCTGAAGTTGTGATTTAAATTTTCCCTGCTGTCTTTTTTGACTGCAGGAAGTCTTTTTTTTTCCCCCTTTCACAGCACCTAGCTCAGCCCCTGTATTTAAATATGCTTTTATACGTGTTTATTTATTGTTCCACAGTGTTCTAAGGTGCTAATTGTCCTGCCTCCAATCACCAGGAACTTAATAGGGTGCACTGTGGGGTTCTGTTTCAGAAATACCCACCTTTTCCTGCCACCCTGTCTGAAACTGCCAGTCCTCATCATTCATTTCCCCCTCTCCAGTTCCCTTCCCCCCACCTTTTTTTAAAAGGAAAGAATAATCCTTTGCCAGAATTAAACTCTTTCTTTTCTTTTCTTTCTTTCTTTCTTTCTTTCTTTCTTTCTTTCTTTCTTTCTTTCTTTCTTTCTTTTTTTGTACGTGTGGTCAGAATTATAGACAGGAGGGGAACAGATGGCCGAGTTTTGAGGAGACAATTCTAGGCCGCCGAGGCTTAACAAAGCTAATAAAAGGTAATTTACCAAAGACTTAGAGAGTCACGGGGCATTTGAGATTCTTTAAAGGCCCAAACCCACTGCCCTTGCCAGCACCTCCCCTCCAGTGCCCCCCTGCCCTCCTCTCCTTCCGAAGAACGTGAGGTTGCCAAGCTGCCACTGATGTAGCTGCTCCGGGGCTCTGCTCTCCCGGGCAAATTTGCTGGGCTGTCTGGGGAACAGGCTGAGGCACCATTGTCTTCCGGCAAATGGTCTTGGCATCGTTCAGCCACCCAGGCCGTGGCCCTGTGCACCTGGCTGGAATCCCAGAACCCCTGTCGTGAGAGCTGCACAGACAGTATAATGCAGCATCGGCGTCTTTATTTCGCTGTGGGGGAAATGCCTTGTTTGGGTTCTCATTTCATGGGTCCCCTCCCGAAAGGCCCAGCTTGATGCTTCCTACATCTGCTCTGTTCCATTTAGCATTCGGGCCCCAAACCTCTTTTTATTCTGTTCCTGATTTTCTTTGAATAGAAAGCTTGCAAATGGCCCCATCTGCCTCACCCAGGCTCTGTCCACAGGGGCGACCTGGACCTATGTGAGCCATGATGGGGTGTCCCCCAGCTCTCCCCCTGCACCACCACCACCCCGGCCTGAGGTCATCACCAGCATACCTGGCACAGGCCAGTTCCCCAGTACCGCCGAGAGAAAATGCCATTTGTGGTTCTGTTTTCTTACATTCAGGAGAGGGTACTGTAAAACATGTGGGACTCACTACAGACCATCCAGGGAGCTTGGGGCCCAGGTCGGTGGGTAGAGGTGACGTGGACAGAGCCTGAACTGAAGCAGAGAGTCGTTAGCTACACGACATCTTCACTTCATCCGACCTCTTGGTTTCCAGTGGAGACCGAGGGATTAGGGAGAAATTTGGCTTAATTTAGGATTTATGTGAACCTTGTCCCTGAGCTTTGCCATCAGAGCAGCAAACACTTCAGCTATGACCTTAGGTGCCTTGTAACGTGCTCAGCGTTTGCAGAGGGGGAGAGACGAGCTTCTGTTCAGTTACAAGAGATAGATAGTGTTCAGCATGATGTGAATCGTTATGTGGAGATGTGCCTAGGAAACTGGGGGTCTACTCAACCCACCTTCTAGAAGAGATGATGTCTGTGGTGTGACTGGAAATTGAGTTCCCATCAATCAGGCCAGTCAGCGGAGAAGAGGGTTTCAGGAGCAAAGTAAGAAAACACGAAACACAATCTAGCATCCTGCATGCAGACTCCTGTGGACGGTTTGAACTTGTTATAAGGTAGGGCTGCAGGAAGTGAAGTTGGAGACTAAACACTGGGCTATGTCACAGAAGACCTCCTGTGGTAAATGGAGGTGCTGTAGGTAAAGGGAGTTGCCAGAGGTTTTCAAGGAGGAGGGACAGGGTCAGGTTTGCAGTTTGGAAAACTTGCTCTGGCAGGAGATGATGGGTTTCAAGGAGGGGTTCTGGGCAGGATGAACCAGGGGCGGTTGGTCCACCACTCAGGTAGACCATCTCCCTGTCCCTGACCCCACTACTTCTCTCACCACAACCAAGCAGTCCTTGTAGTCCTTCCAGAAATTCACTGGCTTTACTTTCAAAATGTTTCCAGAATCTGCCTTTTCTCCCCATCTCCACTGCTACTACCCTGTCCCAGCCACCAGCATCTCCCACCTGCATCACTGCTACAGCCTCCTTCCTACCTGGTCTCTGTCTCTCTCCTGATTTCCTTAAGAATGTTCTCGATGTGGCAGCCAAAACGATCCTCTGAAAATATATATCTGATGCCATCATTCCCCAGCTCAAACTCTGTAATGACTACTGATTCCACTCTGAAAAAGCTCAAGTTCATGTACTGGATTCTAACCTCCCCTGTCTTCCTCAACTCCAGCTATGCTGATCTTGTGGCTGCCTCTTGAACATGCCTTCCACTCATCCATGTTAGGTCCATTCCCATTGCCCTGGGATGCTTCTCCGAGGTAACTGCATGGCTTGCCACCTTCATGTCTTTGCTCACATGTTACCTTCTCAAAGGGGCTTGCTCCAATCACCCTGTTTAAAATGGCAAACAGCCTCCCATGTTCCCTCCTTCCCGACACTCTAGCTCTACTTTTTTCCATTGGAATTATTACATTTTTATTTGCTATGTAATTTACCCATTGTGTCCTTATTATCTACCTTCTCCCTCTCTCTACTAGCATGTAAGCTCTTCAGGCCAGGGATCTTTGTACATTTTGTTTGTTAATTATATCCTCGGGTCCTTGAACAGTGCCTGAACTACAATATATCCTTACCAAATATTTGTTGGACCAATAATTAACAGTAGTTCAAATGTGAGGTGATTAGGGCTTGATGTGGGAAGAAGAAGAGAAAGACGTCAGATACATTGATCAGCCTTCCTGACTGATTGAAAATGCCAAGTGAGAAAAGGGGAATGGTCTAGGATGAATGTCAAGCTTGGCTGAACAACTGGGGCAGAGAGCCACTTGGTATGGAGGAAAGGGAAGAGAATAACGAGCCCCACTCAGGGCATGTTGAGATGCCGTTGGCTGTGGAATACTCAAGTGGAGACCCAGCAGGCAGTTAGAATTCAAACAAAAGACTCACTGGTGAGACCAGAACTGAAGTATAGAATCTAGAGGCATCAGCACCAGCATAATGACTTGTAAATAAGCTAACGTCACCCTAACTTGCTCGAGGGACTACATCACAGTGGCCAGGAAGACATGTTTGTACCTTCTGTTATATGCACACAGAGCAGAGAGATGTTCCAAGAACATGTCAGAACTGCATGCAGAGGGAATGGCTGACTTTGTGTATAATTTCAAATTTCCTTCTCCAAGAGCAGTTTTTCCTGTGAGACATGATCTATAATGTCCTAAGATAAAACAAGGTTAAAGGTAAAACATTCTTGGGGTAATTACATTTTGTTCAACTGAAAAGTCCTAAACACACGCAAAAATAAACTTAATTACAGGGTTGATTTCAGATAATCATCTAGACATTGCTGAAGGGGCAAACTATCATTTTTCCCTTTAGACAAAAACACAGCTCCCTCCTGGGAATCTCATAGATTTTTTAAAAGGCATTGTACTAAGGCAAGTAATATTATCTGCCTTTCCAGAGGGGATCAGGTCAGAAGAAGGTTAAGGTAATTCCCAAAGATTGAACAAAGTCAGAGGGCAACTCCTGGAACAGATCTTCAAAATCTTGGATCCCAGGCTCGGATCCCCCAAATTGAGGTCATCCTTCTGGTCACAAAAGCTTTAGGCAAATTTATGAGACAATCAGGAGAAAAGTCACAGAAATGATGTCAGACTTCTTGGTCTGAACACTAAGAGTCCACTCATCTCTCTGGTATTTAAAAACTCATCTCCTTTCATTTCCACCTTTTACAAAAGCCTGAAGTCTCTCTTCCATTTGCATCTCCTAGTCCTGGATCCTTCTGATCCAGACAGATTTGGGGCAGTGGTTGGAGGGGTTTTCCTATTCTCTTTCTAATGGAAAAATCTTCCAGATTTTTTTTTTTCTAGCAATGGGAAGTAGTGAGATCAGAAGCCAAGAACCTGGAATTCTGGACAAGGTTCTGGCCTTAAGGAGCCGAATGTGGCTGCAAATATTGGCCATTTAGGCTCCAGTTTCTCACACTGCAAAATGAGGAAGCTAACCACCTTTGCAGCTGTGTCTTGTTCTAAAAGTCTGTAACTCTGTGTAAAGTGAATAAGCCTATTTGAATGGTATATCAAGAAGTAGCCAATTCCATTCAAATGAACCAAAATGCATATAGATACTTCTATGTCAGTGGTATTTTTGCCCACCATAATCCTGGCACTCCCTGGGACAGACTGACTCCATGGGGTTGCCACCTGCTGGAGGAAGTGTGAGAGCTGGGCCATGGCAGGGTCAACATGCAGTGGGGAAGGTTGTTCATCTGGCAAATGGGCCTTGGGAAGTGTTGGCAGTGAGGCTTGTGGGAAGACTCTGTAGTACATGATGGGATGCTTTCCTGGAACACCTCAGATTTCCAATTAAACACCACAAGAGGACATATAGACAGGAACTATGATGCTTGTGGCAACTAGAGAAAGGGCAAGCTATGTTCACCTTGATGTCCACATTTGTCTCAAGGTGGCACACCATAGATTCCATGGAGCAGAAATAAAAACAGAGAAAAGCAAGAGCAAGAGATAGAAGTTGTGCAGAGGTCTCAAAACTGCTCTGACCTCACAGTAAGTGTTAGAGTCCAGCTTTACCTAAATTCATGTGTCACAAGGTGGCCCCACGGGATATTTAATGAAAAAATATTTTAGGTCAAAGCCAGAGCTCTTTGCCTCAAATATTAATATTAATTATGACATTTAATATATTTATGTTATTTTATACAATATCATTATTTCAATTTAAATTTAATGAAATCATTGGTAACTTAATATTAATAATAAATATTAATACATATTGCACCTAAGGAAATTGGAATCCTAATTGAAACATAAAATTAGGCAAAAAATTAGGCAATGATTATTACTAATGACTGTAATCTTGTTCAAATCTAGTAC